AAAATCAATGAATTTTTACACCGTTCAATAAGAATTATCTTTTCTATCTATAGATTAAACTACAATTACACGATATAAATATTTTAAAATATATTTTCAACTCTTTTGTGTTTGTTTTTAAGCAATGCTATCTTAGTTTAAAGTATATTTTGTTCATTGAATTTGGATTAAACAGCAAGCATAAATGCCTATGATCGTTCTATCGTTCTATGCATAGGTAAAGGTACAATTCAAGTACATATAGACAATAGAAATAATGTATGGAGAGTAGATTATCAATTGGTACATATGTAGAATGAATTTAGAGAGAGAGAGAGAGAGAGAGAGAGAGAGAGAGAGAGAGAGATAAGAGAGAGAGTAAAAGAAATGAATAGAAAAAAATAATAATAATATAAAATATATTAGAAAAACATATGTGTTTGAACAATTGTTGTTGACCCAGAGTAGGAAACATTCCCTACAAAGTAGCTTACCTAAAATAAAATCTCATTTTCCATATAATATTATAATTAACTAAAATTTTAATTAAAACATCTTAGAGTTTCTTATGAAGGTATGAACATGACTAAAAAATAAAAAAAATATATATTATCCAGACTTAGTGAATCAACACCATATAATATATTTTCTATATTAATTGGTATGTAATTTTCATTCATGTATTTAATCAGCATAAGTCGTTGTGAGGCATAATGTTGACAATACAAGTAAAAATGCAATAAGTTCTCGTTTTGATATCCAAAATTTGTACATATTGGTGTTTCTTTTAGGTGGTCTTTTAGCCTGACTGTCTCTAAGCTGGTTTAACGGAGAAAACATGATATAAGCATTTATCAACTAATAATTATGAAAACTTATCCGTGTGGTGTTTTTATTTATGTACTATTTTTTTATTTCAGCTCCTGTTAAGTTTTATACAATATTAAATTTTTTTTTCTTGAATAAGCATTCATTCATTATTTAATGATACATGATAGGTTTTATTTATATGCACGGTTCATTGTCCTGACCCGTTTCCTTCCGGGAGGATGTCCAGTCCGTACATGACCGTAATACCTTCAACCAGAGCAGGACATATGAACATGTATCAATAAAACTTAGATTTAATCCTCCTAAAGTTTATCACAACGAGACACCAGGATGGGTAATAATCACACAAAGGTAAACGAAAAGCCATTTTTTAAGTATAAGCAATGGTTACCGGTGATAAAAAAACAAACTATACACTTTTTTAATAATGATTTTTTTTTAATAAAGATTTCCTTGAACACTAGTGCAATTTATATTGTAGCTTTTATATTAGTTTACATGTATATAAATATTTTTTTCGTATATTCAATGCAAGTACCAGTATATAAATGTTTCTAGATCTTAATATTTTGTCTTTAATTACATGTTGCAAGGCCTCCAATACTTTGAATGCAAAATCATTAATCTAGACTGTATTACATGTACTTTAAACCATGCAACATGCGAGAAATATCCGCGAGTTTCGCGAGGTACTTTTACTCGTGAGTATTTATCGACGCGAACAAGTTATTTTGCTTTGTAATTATAGAGAATGTTTCCTCTGTCACGGAAATTAATCGTCGACGATTGGTTTTAAACTGACGAATCGCGAATAAAAGATGACGCGAATAATAGTTGGTTTACAGTATTATATACGAACTGTAAATTACAATTTTGCCTTTCAAGACAATCACTAGAATTAAAACAGATTTCTGAAACGTTAAATATTTAAAAAAAAAACACATACATTTATCTTTTATTAAAAATGATAATTGGTAAGATTTCATAAAAATTATTATGAGTCTTTAAAAATGTAAAAAGCATACCGATCGAAAAACAAAGTTGTCTGATGACTTAAGCTTATTCCTTCGGGTCATTTTGCTTCGTAACAATCGTAACAAGTACAAAGAGAATACAAAGTATTTACATCAATTTGTTCACTTTTAAAAAAAACTAATTTATAATCATTATTATCCAGAAAACAAAGGAAAGGGGGTTTCCATCCTCTATCCCTCTTAAGGCAACAGTTACTCAGGAAGACGCACCTGCTACATGTAAGGTGTTAAAAGAAGATATTAAGGCATGCATTAAAAATGGCAATACGCCCTTGTTAATAGCCGATGAAAGCGAGGATAGCTGGCAGACTTTTCAGGAGCTACAAGACCAAAATATTTTTCTTATGGACTGTCATTTTCTAAAGGAGGAAACGGTAATGCAAAAACAAAAGAATTTGCAGCTAATTAAAGTTAAGATTTATTTATGATTTTGTAGTTTTGTTTTGTTTGATTATTTTATTTTATTTTTGGGGTGGATGAGGATGGGTAGGATATGATTTTACATGAGCATGTGGTTTTTAAACTTACTGAATTAAGTTAATTCCGTTAGATTAATAACAAAGAAATAGCATTTAAAATTAAATAATTTCTGAAAAATATTACTGTAAGACATTGATGTTTAATCATGTAAGCTCATTTTATAGATAATTTTCAGATGAAGATGAACATTAGAATATCTACTCAACCAAAGGTTTTGTCAGAAAATGAAAACGTAAGTATTTTATCAAGCTTATCATTGTTTAATATTTATTATCCCACAGATTAGATACTATTTTAACAATCATGTCTTATTCAAGTTTAATAAAATTCACAAAACAGCCTTAATGATGTACTCGACTTTTTCCTTTTTGAATTATTTAATTATTCTTTTCCTTGTTTTTGTTTATTCAGCAAAGTATCAATAAGCTATACAAACGTTTGCAAGGTGGAATCGGAAAGAAAACAAAACTACAGAGGAAAGAATTCGAAAACTGGGGCCAAACGGTAACTGCGAGTGTGTTTTATTGTGAACCTACATCAAAACGGGAAATTCAGAAGGTAATTCTTGCTGCGGCGAAGAACGGGGTTGGTGTGCGTGGTGTAGGTGGTAGTCACACGTGGGCTCCTGTCATCTGTGACGATAATCAGATTTTGATGAATTTTACCAAGTTACAGAGTGATTACAGACATGGACACAAGATTAGAATAGCAAACGTAAGAATGCATTCTGACATACTAGTAGTTAAAACTGAAGAAAATATTCGTTTGTCTTCTATGGCAAAAAATGATTATGTTATCATAAGAGTATTTTCAAATATTAAAGGAAATTTGAAAAAAATTCAACGAATATCTATACCAATAGATAAAAGAGCTTTTAGAATACAAATTACTGCAGTCCAACAATAATAAATCTTCATGCATTTCACAGAAGTCACGCAACGAAGTAGATGTTATGTCAGGAGTAAAAACATCAGAGCTTAAGGAATTTCAGCTGAAACATAAACTTAACCTTCCAATAAATGTAATGGCGGATCATTTTGATGTGGTGGGGACAATTTCTGTTGGAGCACACGTAAGTCTCTCTCTCTCTCTCTCTCTCTCTTTCGTTGATAATATCCCTATTGAACTTTCATTTTCAATGCAGGGTGCTGGAATAAATGGGAAAAGCATCAGCGATTACATAGTAAAGATGCGCGTTTTTGACAGCAGAGGCCAACTAAGGACTTACACTCTTAAGAACAAGAGCATGTTTAACGCAGTAAGCGTCAGCTTCGGTTGCTTTGGTATTATTTACGACGTCACTTTTAAGGTATGCTATAAAGAAATAAATGTCCTGCCTAAAATACTATTCAATAAAATCAAATAACAGGAAATGCTTCACAGATGAATCATGTTCATCAAATAACATAAAATGCTTTACATTCTACACTGTATATGCAATCTAACAGTATATCGTAGCATTTTAATTTTACAGATGGAAAAAGAAATAGTTGTGAAGACACAAAATATGTATTGCAGTTTACGGGATGTATTCTACAATGCTGAAAAGATCAAGTCTTTAGCGGAAGAAAACTGGTCCACCCAGATTTTCTGGTTCCCCTACAACTCAGTCAGTTTACTTGACTACGAGCCTAAGAATGACGACTTATGGATACGGTTAATAAATAAAGCGCCATCTAACGTCGACTGTAAGGATTTTGGATTTTATCTTTGGCAAAGTTCAAAAGACAAGATTTCGCAAAAATCATTGGCTGCTGTGTCGCCATTACTTGCTGAAAATACAGAATTAACGCCATATTTATCCTGGGCTGCTTTCAAGTCATTAAAATACGTCCTCTACCCAAGTGGCCAAGTGTACCAAGAGCTTCCACATGCCATACACTATAGGTCAGTGTAGTAGACACACACAAACATTAAGAAACTACCCAATTCTTTTCTCTTTATGACTTAAAAAAAACGAAATCAAGGGTCAAAGTAAGCTTTCTGACTTAATGCGTTTTTCGCCTGTCAACTAACGTCTGATTACCTTTTTAAGAAATACTTTTTTTAACAAACTTGCAACAACTTATCTATAATCAAAAGATTAAAAGGGTCAATCTTTAATTAAAGTAGACTATCGGGGATTTTTAAAGGTAAGCTTTTTAAAAAGAAAAGAAAATATGAACTTGATCAATTGTATAACTTGACTCCAAGCAAGAATCTTAGCCAACATTGTAACTCTAACCCTAACTTAAGAATACACATATTCAGATAAGTCGAATTGACTTGAAATCACAAGACAAATTCTTTACAAAAACGATAAAAATAAGTGTAAATTGAAGTATGATCGAATCGAAAACATATGGGGGTTTGTTTGATTCAGAATGGGAGAAAAAAGGGATCCAGAATGATACATTTGAAATTTTTCTTTTAATTGGAATATTTAGAAAAAAGTATTGTTGATGGAAAATCTTCTTGATAGAATAAGTTTGATTAGTTGTGATCCATGTGACTAATGTCACCAAAGGATCAGGTGTCAAGTATTCATCTTCATATATTTTTCTTAATGTGTACGTATTATACAGGTTATTTTAATAGAAAATTATTACTTTTTTTATTTTGCATATCCAATGCGGTTTATTATATAAAAGATTAGCTGAAAATCAAATTTACTATTTCTACATAATTATGTAAATGTAGCTATGAGAAACAAATGATATATGTACATGTATATATTAGATACATATATAATTTGATAGTCACGAACTGTTATAGGAAATTAATATAAAGAAAGAAAATTACTATTTAATTAACTAGCTAAATTTTATGTATAACTTATTTAACTTCGGTTTAAAACTATTTGTTTACACTCAATTTTTGTTCTAGAACACACATTGCTGACGCCCCTGTACATGATATGGAGTTTATCTTTGACCACAAAGGCGATTATAACAAGGTCCTAGAAATCATTCAAGTTGTGGTGGAGAAAACAGACCATTATGAAGAAAAAGAGGAATATCCATTGAACTTATGTCTTGAAATGCGTTTTATGGCATACAGGTAATTCTTTGCTTTATATTATTATCATTGAAATAAAATAAAGCTGTCTCATTGTATTTCATGGATATACGAATAATGTTTTTTGATGAATGTTTCAGTGATATGTACCTTGGATGTGGAAATGTAGGCAATCCCGCCAATGGCGGTTCTGGCCATGTGTTCTGTATCGAAATAATTAGCGTTACTGGTACAAAAGGATGGGAGAAGTTCAGTATAGATGTAGGGAGAGAGTGGATGGCCCTGGGAGGCGTTCCTCACCTAGCAAAACAGTGGGACTATCTACCTGGTATCCACAGGCACATCCAGGAGGTATACCTCTATAGAAAAAATATTACTGTCAATAGTGTCCGCAAAATATGTCCCCTTTTGTTTTTCAGCAACGTATTCAAGATAAATGAATATTATGTATTTTTTTGTAATAATCAACGGTTTTATTCCCATAGTGTCCCCTGACATATTCTTGAAATATGATTAAAAGTGAAAATCAAATAAATATAAGATTAGCTCGGTATTAAACACTTATAATTAAAATTCGTGTAGATAAAATTGAATGTAATGAGCAATACATGTTTTATTAAAGAAAAAATCTACAATGTACCTTATTTGCTGCAACACACACAAAAAGGATTGTTACATTATGTGATCTATCCTGGTATTTGTGTCAATATTTCGTTAGAATGAAAATTCTATCTTTTAGTTACCATGGCAACATCATTCATCAAAATAAAAAAAAACAGAAAAAAGACAATTATGTATAATACCGTATATTTAGCTGAAATATCCACTAAACATTTTTATGAAAAAATAAAAATAGCAAAAAAATTTTTTTTTTAGCTTTTCATTGAAAGAATTACCTTTGGTTATGATTTAAATTGATATATCTTTACTTTATCATTTTATATATATTTCTAATTTTATAAATTACATTTTAGAAAATGTGCCTGGAGTTAAAGACTTTTAAAGAACAACTAGAAACATCAAAAGCGGATCCCCGCGGCATGTTTCTCAACAAAGGCTTAAAGCAGTTATTGAATCTGTGAAAATATGTACACATAAATGACTGATCAATTGTGTGCTACGTATGTAAAATATTTTGAATGAGAACAACAATTATGACTAATTTATTTGTAATTTCGAAAACATTTCACAATACAAAAGTAACACTTTAGATTTTGTATGTACGTACATTTATATAATTATAATGAAATCATCAATACCAGAAGTAACGGAGAGAGTAAGGGGAATGGGAGACGTGGCCTCTAGTACATTTGCCAAAATTATGAATGTTCTAGGAATATCATCGAATATTTAATGACTCGCCTATCGCTTGCATTGGACTTACCAAGTTTTTACTGATGGTCTCGAGAACATTTTCCGTATACCGGTAATTCTCGATTCAAGTAAAGAAACTGAAATATTTATTTCATATTGTCTTTTGGACTCAAAAGTTTTACCCTAGGTGAATATTGTGATTCAAATTAGATTTATTTTTTAAGAGGAATATTTACATGCATACTCATAAATACAATTGGATAGATTCAGGCGATTTATTGACAAGAAAGTTGATGACACAAGGATATCAACATTCATGTCTTAGAATAAAAAAGAAGATTCAAACTTTGATGGTCAAAGCCCGACCCTTTTAGAGAAGAAACTGTATTTTGTTTTTAAAGATTACCAACACGCGACAATCAACACAAGACAACGGACAAAACGAACAAAACAGATAATTAGGGTTTACAATACAAGTATGACAAGTATGACTCGGGTGGCCTAAAAATAAAAAAGACAGAGTACAAAATATTTATTTTTCGTGTTTACGTTAACGTTGTTTGTGATCTAGATGGTAAGAACAATAGAATAAAAAGAAAAAATCTGCACATTTTGAGAGCTGCCTTGAAGATATCAGGACTTAGAAGATTGTGAGCTCGAGTTGCATGTAAGTATTTTAAAAAAGATACAGAAGATGGGGGTTTTGCAAATATATAATCTAGTTTCTTAGCTCTGCAAAACGACTGCTTTCGCGAAACATCAAGTAAAAAGCAAAATAAATAAATAAATAAAAAAAAAAAAAAAAACATAATTTTTTTTAAATAAATGACGAAGAAAAGCAAAACATAGATAACGATATTAAAAATGAGAGTCAACAAATACTGAGTACTACACATTTCAGGCAAATTGTAAACTCTCTGAACCTATGACATCACAATTATAACGTGATGTATATGGGAAATAAGGAGAGAAGGACTGGAAAAATTCCGCACACCAGAGTGACTGTCCTTTATGGTTAACAGTCAAATGGTGATCACATGATGTACAACAGCTTTTCTGATTTGTTAAACACAAACAAGTAAAGGGAAGATCGTGAAAGTTGTTATTTAAGGAGGCTCATTACACCACTTTTTGATGACGTACTACACAAAAAAAAAAAATAAACCTCCATTCTGTAGACCGGTTCGCTCAGGGGACGAGTAGTATACGTACCTCTAAAATATGACCCTGACCTTTAAAACGCTTTAAAAATAGATGATACAATACATGCGGTGCTGTAAACAGTGAAAAATAAAGTAACGGATTCATTATGCATAAACCAAGAAGAATTGCTTTTAGGCAGAAACAAAAGAAAGCAACAGTCAAATCTTCGGCAAACAAGTAATGTCAATTTCATAGCAATGCATGCAGTGAACTACCAATCACTGACATGTATGTATGGAGGAAATTCGAGTTAAAATCTACAACCTTGTTGGAATTAAAATTTTATTTCATTGTGCTATTTACTGTGTTGGTGTTAATTTATATAATCGTTTTATTGATTTAAATGTATACTCTGGTAATTTAAAGCTATTTTCTGAATTTTAGAGTAATATCAAACGTTCCCTAGTGTTTTGAGTCTTGGCTAATTAGGAAAGATAACTCTTAAAAGTGGACTTTCTATACCAAATATTTTTTAAATTAGATTTTTCATTTCCTTTAAACTTTCTTCATTCAATTTGACACATGTAATTCATTGAAATACATTCATTGTCTCTTCAGAACACATTTTTTAAATGTTTTATGCATAGATTAAAGAGATAATGACATTAATTGTTTTCAAAGAGAAAATTATTTTTTCTAATAACATTATTATTAGGTATTATGAGGTATTTTCACTGTATGTACTTGTCTTAAGAAGATGCCCATCATTTGACACTGAAAGTTCTAAAATTCTGTGAATAATGAACCTGAAATAAAACATTTCACTTAAATTAAACAAAAACAAAAAAATTCTATAAAAAATATTTATGATATCAATACCCCCATCTGGATATTTGACATCTACATTATAAGTGGTGCTGTATTGAAATCTAAAATAAACTGTGGATGTAATGAGCCACCTTAAATGGGATAAGATGCAATGTAAAACTAGATAATTAAAATACACTGTTATCCACTAAAATAGCAATATATAATCATGTAAAACAAAGGTCTTTTCTCTTGGTTTTCGTATGTGAGGCAGCGTGTGTGTTTAGGGTGAGTGAGTGTAAAGAAGGCAAACGGAGACAATAAGCCAAGTGTAAGTAAAACGACGATATTGACTGTAATACATAAACGAAATTTAGTAAAACAGGAATTATTCAAAAATGGGTGTCAGAAAGGGGATTGGATATAATGAGAAAAAATGATATGATTTACGTCAGTTCTTTATGTGTTTGGGTATGTCTAAATCTTGTTAATATTTATTTTCTGGGAGAAACTAGTATACAAGCGCTTAGGAAATAATATTTACAAAATTTGCAAGACCTTAGAAAGATATTACGTGCCCGTATTTTTTTTTAACGAGTTGGACGGCGACTTTTGTACCTTATTCCTAATTTTTGTAACTGTGTCAATACTATATTAAGCAATCATAGCAATCATATTTTATTGATCTCAGTAACAGATGTATCAGAAAGAATCTAGGCTGGACCTAAACCGATATTATCACTTTTCAAGCAAGTATCACTGGACCGATTTTCACTTATTTTGTTCGCTCAGTTAAAAAAAATTGCAAGGTCAAAATTGCGTCGCATACATTGTAACTTTAGCGAAGAGCAAATATTTCTTATATAATAATAAATGTACATCTTTTTAACAAATGATACGTTCATTAATAGGACATTAACGCGACAACCTACACGCAAGTAAGCTAATGTTTCTCAAATTGATCATGGAAGTATATATATATAAAGAAAATTTGACTGAAATATGGCTGTCTCATTTTAAACAGTGACCGAATATTGGCAATCATGCAAATGTAAGTTTTAACAAATTGTATTTTCTTTACTTTCATTAGATTCACATACTGTAACTTCATATGTTCTCTGAAAATATAAGCTGTAGGATTTTGGGTTCTTGCTTATCTCAATATTATAAAATAGAAATATATTGAGGATATTCAATGTTTTGTGATTGAATATGGAATTTATTTCACGAATGGGAAAGGATTTTTGATATTTTCACGAGTGCGAAGCACGAGTGAAAATATCAAAAAATCCTGTCTCACGAGTGAAATAAATTCCATATTCAACTACAAAACATTGAATTTTCTGTTTATTACATTTTTAAAATAAAATTCTTTGATTTTTCCTTTGCCTAAATTCTTTTTGTAATACAGCCATAGGCTCGTGACGTCATAGTTTAGCGGTTGAGACGTCATAGCAATGTGAGGTGAAAACACTGTAAACTTGGATCTAGCAGCATATTTTTGGTAATTTTAACAGTTTTATTCGCTTTCAGAATGGTTTATTTATTTTCATCTATCTTAGATTAGGTCAAGGAAGATTTTTTTTACAGCAATCTTCGCTATGGGAAGGGAAATCGAGAGTTTTCTCGCACTTCTGATATTCGTCACACTGTGACGGGATATCATTTTGATATCCTTTCACACTGTGACAGGATATCGTTTTTATTCAATGAATAAATTACAGTATTTCACGGGTAAAAATGTAATAAACACATGTCTTTTTTATAATTTAATATGCTTTAAAAATTAAACATAAAGTGTAGGAAATATTTTAAAACAACAAGAAGGAAAAAATACATAATATATAAAAGTAATTTATTGTTATTCTCAATTTTTTAAAAGCTCTTTAAGTTTTATAATGTAACCTTGGATGCCCATTTCGTCTAGTTTGTAATCCCCTTAAAATGTGTTTTTCATTTATTTTTTTAAAATCCAAATTAAATATATCATTAAAAATATATTATTCCTTTTTTCAGAGTTGCTTAAAAGTAATATTATTTTTTTCATTTGTTCCATTGACTTCTCAAAAGGAGATTTAGTTAGTTTTGATTAAAATATAACCTACAGGTTTCAAAATGCATTCCTAACTCAATTTTGATAAGATGATTTTATTTTTTATTGGGCAAAACTGTGCACGGATAATGGAATTTTAAAACTAATGCTTTCAAAGTTTCTTATATTTCTCTACGAGTTGAGTGCGTTTTACTCTCAATAATTTAGTTCTATTTAAAAGTCTAAAAGATTCTTATATTTAATTTTTTTTCACATGAACCTGATTCCATAGTTGTAAAGACATAAACTTGGTTCAATGATCCGTTGATCATGCTTGAATCGCGGGTGTGGACAGTCGGCAGATATTTGCTCCTCCATGGCACCTGATCCCATGTCTTTTGTGTTTGGAGGTCCAGCTAGCTCTGCTACAATTTTGTATTGTTTTAATGGACTTTTAGCTTGAATACTGTTCGTTATCTCCATATTTCAATTTTAATAGCATTTGGGTGGGAAAGTGTGGCTAATTATTTCTTATTTATTTGAATAGACTTTTCAGTCTCAAGACGACACTCCTAGTTATAGGAGCTTTGGCAGTCTTTCATGTTAATGGAGCACCAAATGAAAAGGATAGCATCTCATCTCAGTTGTTTGGGCGTGCGAAAAGGAGCCTTTATGAAGGTATGATACAAGTACTTATTTTACCCCCCGCTTGAAAAGCGGGAGGGTATATAGTAATCGGTATGTCCATCCGTCTGTTTGTATGTCCGTCTGTTACGCTTATTCATCTCTTATCCGCAACTCCTATAATATCACTGATTGAAATTTAATGAAATTTCATAGAATCTTTATTACATATTGCCATTGTGCACCTCCTATTTTATTTTTTGATCCGATACATTTATTGGTTTTCCATAGCAAAACATGGATACTGCCATTATATTCATATGGAAGGCGGGGGTATCATTTGGTGAGCTCATTGCTTACAGTACCTCTAGTTTCTCCTGTTACGGGAAACCAATCTGAAAATATCAATATTTTATTCCTTCATATAATTTTAAACATTCAAAGACAGAAATTTCATGCTAGTTCGTATTTTAAAGCTATTAACTGAATTTCTCATAAAAAGTCTCTAAATCTATTAACAGAATAAATAAAATCTGTAGCATTGTACATTCAGAGATTCACAAATAATTAGACCTTGTTTAATAGGAATGGTAGCCTTTCAAGCAAAGTTAACGAAAAACCAAAAGAGCCTTCCAGAAAATGCCATTGTTATATTCGAAACAACAACTCTAAATGCAGGATACGCCTATAGCCCTCTCACAGGAATATTCACTGCACCAGAAGACGGTATATACGTTTTCTCGTGGAATATTCTGGCCCATGCTGGAGGTGTTTTTCACACAGAGATCGTTTACAATGGTAAGGCTGTCGCTCACAACCATGCTGATGGTAGGAGTGGAAGTTCCCACTATGCATCCGGGTCCTCGACTGCGGTTATTGGGATGAGGAGGAAGGATCAAGTTTGGATTAAGGCCATGGCAGGTCATGGGGAATCTGCTGCTGGTGACTGGTCTTCCTTCTCCGGCTTCAAATTATAAACAGTCATTGTAAAATGGAAGATAATTTGGAAAATAAATCTCAATATTATGTCCATTGCTTTTACTTTTATTGTACTAAGAAACAGAAAAAAGAAATATATAACAGCTAATTATAAAGGCCGCATGCTTCCTGAGCATTGTGTAAGTAAGGCAAAATATTAAGATGTGTCATATCTGTTTCGTCTTAATATTTTGCCTTAAAAAAAGCTTAGAGTAAACTAAGAGCTTCCTGTAATTAGTAAACTTTAACTGGATTTATGAGACCGACAACTGTTTGTTATCTTAACTTTTTTATCATCTAAAATCAAGACGTGTTTGTGGAACACTGATGTCCTCGTATGGCAGCTTTTGGCAAAAGTTAAAGTTTCTTAAATGCAAATCAAAGGACACGTTCAAGAAATCAAAATGTTGTTTTACCCAACAAAAGGAATTGTATCAATTAATATACATAATTATGAAATATGAAAGCCCAAGCACAAAACATTCAAAATATTAAGGTTCATGTAAGACCAATGTAATTTTATTTCTTTTTAAATATGGGTCAAATTCCAAGGACAATGTCTAAGGGCCGAACTTAAGGTACCGAAGGGAAGGCCATGTTATAAGAAATACACGTATTTAATATTCAAGTCCTAGCACCAACTGATCAATAGTTATCACAAAGGTTAAAGTTTTTCAAAATAAAACAAACTCCAAGACGAAAAGATAATAAATTTTGGTATCCAAGGGAAGGTCTTTTGACAAGTATGACATCTCTTTAATATGAGGGCCCTTTAACTACTAACTTAACCGCTTAAAATTCATGGCCAAAGTTAAAGTTTTTTTTTTCTAAATGTGAAATTCAACTAAAAGCCAGATTATTCCACACCAACGAGACAACGTTTAATAATTACAAAGGATCATTCTCTATAAGGCCGTTTTGCGGCCTACAATGACTTCAAATTTTCAGATAGTATTTTTTCCCTTAAAAATTGCATGAATCACTAGGCCTATGTTCCAGTTCACTGATAAATATTGGTTAGATAATGATACATTAGTATTTCTAATGATATAGGGTGACAAAGTAAGGTACTATCGGCCTGTATTAGCATTAGAGTAATTGGAAAACTCAAGAGGGTGACTGTGTTAGATAACTCCTACGCATGTTATAACCACCTTTAACCAACACCAAAATTTGCATGTAAATTTCTAATACACATAAAAAGTTACTTCCAAATTATGAATTTGGTTAAAGGTGGTTATGACATCCAAATAAAAACTTTTCACTTCATTTTTACGATATTTGCAGAAAAAGTTAACGACTCACAATTATGGATATCAGCTTATGTAAATTATTTCTTTTAATGAACTTTTGGTTAGAGTACAATTTTCGGTTTATTTACTAAGATTTATATCAGCCATGCATATATACGAAAAATAAATGTGAAATTTCTACTTTAAAAATCTAAAATCAAAGGACTGAGAAGACTGGATGTGATGAAATTACAAATGGAGACGTTTCTTTGAAATGTCTGATAAAAATTAAGAAATAAAAACTTTTTACAGACTCTAAGGTGTGAATATGAGTTACACGTATCTTTTATATTTATAATGATAGTTTAGTTTATCTTTGTATGCTACTTCTTTGAATTCCGTTATGAGTATTGCATATGTTCTTTGTATTTCCTTATGAGTACTGTATATATGTTCTAGAAATGATAAAATCTATCTTTGTTGAAGCGGTAAAATGCATTTCCTATTAGTGTTATAGACTTTTTTCTATATATGGGTACAAACATAATTCTTATATGGACACTTCAATACGAGTAACATGTGATCCATATTTTGTTAACTGCATGGGTCTTTCTTGAGAGGACTCAATCTATTCATCACACTTCTTTGATAGCATCGATATAAGTTACGAGAATAGTAGTCCTGTATTAGAAAATAAATTGGTAAGGAGGAGAGGGATTCCTATACATAATATGTGGTTTTATAATTAAATGTTGCTTTACCCCATTTAAGGATTTTTCAACCAGATAAAGAGATCGTCCACTTAAGGTCAAGTATTTATGCGTAGTTGCATTACTGACCAACGCCCAGTGCGGGACGGAACCTTTTTTTTTTTTAGAAAAAAGATGATATCCTAATGACCCATGACATTTACTTGAAATGCTAAAGAATTAGGTAGGAAACTGTCACTATCCCTGTTAAACAAGCTTTTTGACGCTGCACTGGGAAAGAGATTGAATTTAACCTACAGGTTTCTAGAGTGCGAAAGGAGCATCAAACCCTTAGGGTCCATTTTGTACCTGGGATGTTGTAGAACTCTTTTAATTCTGTATACTAGTAAATACGAAAACCTCTGATATGCATAGTTTAAGGAACTGTTAAAAGTCTACTCCATTTTTATGCTTTGCCGTTAGAAACGGGGGGGGGGGTCTCAACTTTTATACATGTATAAACGATAAAGTTTAGATGACACTTTTAATTAAATTTATCGTGCAACACGAGTACTTAAATAAAAGCAAAGCCGTTTTACGACGATATTTCATTTCACTTAGAGATATATATTTTAATGCAACCGCTCTGAGTTACAAGTATATGTATTGACTTTTTACATGTATATGGATAGTCAACATGTATTTGAATTGATGTTTTTATGCTGTTAATTCTTTATTTGTTTGAAATTGTTTAATTTCTTTACTTAATTACTACTTCAGTTGTATTTAATCACAATAAAAATACAATCATTGCTTTCAACATTTGATACATAACTTTTACAGTTCAATTGAAACTTAGAAACCTCATTTCTTAGATGGTTATTTTATGCGTAAAATACGTAACACATCTATAGAAATGATATACAATTACAATATTATTATATATTATATAATACTATTAATAAAATGCTAATCAAACTTTTTTCAGCATCATAAAGTGTGAATTTCGTAAAGATTTACGTTCAAAATATGCAAAATGTGGATGCATCGAAATTCTTGTCATAAAAAATATCTTGAACCTTAAATTTATAAAATCTTCCAGTTTATTACTTAGGTATGATGTATTTCCGACATAAATAAACAATTTTTGATCATTTACATTCAGAATCATAGATAGAAACTTGATTTGAATAGACCCACCCTCAATTTTTCTTTAACTGACGGCCATTTCTTATTTCTAAATCACGTGACTTAGATGATCGATGTTGAAAAACAAATTTCAAAATCATGAACTACAATAATTATAGTTATATAAAATCACATTTTAAAGTGATTTTATCGTAGGCCGGAAAATGGCCTTATAGAGAATCAACCTTTTGTAATTAGATGATAATCTTCTGAAAATTTATACCCGTCTTTCGTCAGGTCCCCTCACACTTTTATTCAAAATTATTATATGAAAGACCGATTGTGTGCTAGGTACTATAATTATGATTTTTTTGCTATTTCGTAGTACAAAAGAAACATTACAACTTTTTATGGATATTTATTTATAATGGAAAGCAGAAGTAATAGGGAGAGAACTGGAGACATAGGGGCGTGGCCTTTAGTACATTTGCCAACATTATGTAGAAGGGATACTTTCCAGTATTTTCTGACATGCATCCATTGTGGCCCAATCCTATCCCCGGGGTCAAAAGTTTTACAGATTTGAATCTACACTTCATGGGGGGGGGGGGGGTCCTGGATGCTTCCATATCTATATGACCAATCATGGCATTGTTGGTCTTGAGAAACGGATTTTTTTTTTACGTTTTCCTTACATATTCCTATGTAAAATATTAATCGTCCATTGTAGCCCCACCCTACCCCCCCGGGGTCATGATTTGAATTAACGTGAATATACATTATCTGAGGATGCTTCCATATCAGTATGATTAATCATGGCTTTGTTGTTCTTGAGAAAAAATTTATAAGATTTTCCTATATTTTTCTTAGTAAAACTTTGATCGTCCAAAGTGGCCTCACCATACACCCAGGGGTCATTGTTTGATCAAACTTGAATCTACACTACCCGAGGATGCTTCCATATGAATAAAACCGATCATGACTTTGTTTTTTCAAAATTTTTTCTATATATTACAAAGTAAAACTTTGATCCTCCATTGTGGCCCCACCTTACCCCGGGGGTCCTGATTTGAACAAACTTGAATCTAAACAACCTAAGGATGCTTCCACATTAGTTCAATATTTCCCGACCCAGTGTTACCAAATTTTCACTATCTCTTAATTATCTTCCCTTGAATGATTGTGTGGCCCTTCATTTGAACAAAATGGAATCTCCTTTATTCATGGATGCTTTGTGGCAAGTTTTGTTGACATTGGCACAGTGGTTCTGGAGAAGTCAAAAATTGGAGAAAGTTTACAGACGGACGGACAGACAAATAGTGATCAGAATAGCTCTCTTGAGCTTTCAGCTGAGATGAGCCAATAATGACAAAGTACAAGATATCTATTCTGGTTGTTTGTGAGCTTGATGGTGACGACAATACAATAACACAGAAAAGATTTGTGCATTACGAGAACTTTGCTTGACATTATCAGTATACGAAAGAATTGCCTAGTATGAGTATCGAAAAACAATTAGATGATTTTTTTTCATTTATAAAATCTACGTTTCTTAATTTTACCAAACTTCTTTTTACGTATTATATTACGAGGACGAAGAAAAGAAATTTATTGAAATAAATAACTAAATGAAGCAAAACATATGTAGTAAACAGCACTTGAAATAAGGATCAGCAAATATTAAGTATTACCTATTGTAGACAAACTATAAAATTTTACCACACGAATCATCAGGACAATGGGAATTGTAAAATGATGTACATGTAAATAGGAAATAAGGGGAATGACATGACAAGAATAAAACTTCAAAATCTGAAAATTTTGACAAGACGCAGCATACAGATATTTCACGTTGACTTCCTCAATAATACAAGATACAGACAACAGTAATATATACTGCTGCTTACATTCAAAAATGGTTGGTAAGACAAAATATCAACCAGTGGGAAGCTAGGGATAAATGGGGTTTTTTAAAAAT